AAGCTCTAGACGGGTTAGGCTGCTTTCTGTGATTTTGGACTCTCACAGGGTATTGTGATTTGAAATCGTGTTCTTTCAAATCAAATTGTCGCCGTCTTGTAGGTTTGACTTGGAGTCCGACATGTCTCCTTTCACGTCAGCATTTCTCGACAATCCTTCTCTCTTTGATCCTCGCACTTCTGCTGGAATGATTAGTCACAAAAATCACTCGTAAGTTCTTCATTACATATTCTACCACTTACAAGCTTTTCCCCCACATCCCTGAAGCTCTCTTTTGAAGAACTGTTGTGATTACCATACGTGGAAACAGTGTTAGCTTGAACTAGTGATTAAGTAATCAAGGACAGAAGGCCAACTACCCTGTACTTGTTACGAGGGACCCTTTAAAACACCTTGCAGGGGATTTATAGGGCTCCTTGAGCTGAACTGAGATTGCGCTCCATCCGTTAAATCCAAATCGTTTTCAAATTTTCAAATAGATTTATCCGCAAAGCACTCCCTCCTCCCCCCCCCCCCTTCAGGTAAAAGGACTCTTTGTCTCCATTGGGTTGATATCGGTCCCCTTTCTTCCTTTTCACTCTGGCGCATCTTCTGTTTTCAACGGAGGAGTGCAGAAATTAGTGGGAATATAAAGAAATATATAAGAAAGAAGGCGCATTGAATAGGAAGTCAAATCATTCGAGATCTGTACTTCAGTTACTCGTTGTTTGCTATTGTGACGCATATCGGTGACTCGTCTGGTGCTGGGCACTATATAAGCTACGTTCGTCGGAATCAGAACAAATGGTATCGATGTGACGACCATCAGGTTCGATTGCTAACACATTACAGGAGTCCTGTTCAGCTTATCTTCGTTTATTTACTATTTATTTCTTTAGATCAAGGAGGTACACTACAGTGACGTGGTAATGACTGAAGCTTACCTTTTATTCTACCAGCTTACACAACTACGACTCAAGTAGACTAATTTGATGTGGTTCGTTTGCTTGCTCAACGGCTTCGTGTGGATAGTTTGGTATGAGCTGTGACAGCTCATAAAATTTTGAAGCTTGGTGCTACCGAGGATGTAATTTTTATTGAATTTGAATACAGTGATCGGAAATTCCTCGATGCGGCTCATCGGATGTGTGGCGCGGTCACAAGCTTCCCCTGATACCGTTCGTTTTTCTAGCCATTGTAAACGTCGCCGTAACGAAATGTCGTATTGGTGTGATAGAAAAGTGCCACCGCGTGATACTCTCTTATGTTGCTCGGCCCGAAGCTGTTTTTTTTGAGGACTTTGCCCGGAGATGAGTACAAGCACTTTACGAAAAGGAAGCATCGGTTAGGAGGTCGTGTTACCAGTTGTTACGTGCGTAGCATTGACATGAAGGCCCGACTGGTCAGACACGGAAGTGCTGCCATATGTCAACCAGTTAGGAAGTACTGCACCTTTTTTCTGCGCATTAGTGCATTCCCCTAACTGATGATCTGAACTGAGCACTTTCTGTATACAATACTGGGTTTTTGCCCATGCTTGAACTGTACATACACATTAGTTTGCGCAAGTTTCACTCTTTACCGTAAAAATGTCAAGTTGTCAGGAATGGTACCGCTGTTGAGCGTGCTATCCTTTCCATGGATTGTTTACGAAATTGCACTCGTCACACTTGCATAGTTTACTGTGATTTGTTTACCGGCTTGATTTATTTTCGTTGTTGTTCTCATTTTGCTTTACCTTAATTTTGTTGAGTTCGCATTATAACACTGACTGCAATAATTGTTGTACATAGATTTGTTTTATTGGTTTTTATGTTGAAATTTTTTTAGAAAGATTTGGTACCTTACATAAGTCTGTTCGGCTAGATTAAGTTTTTGATTGCTACCTTTATGGGTACTGATTCTACCAACTGACTTTTTGAGAACGTTTGCTATAATTCATTCGTGGCCCATTTTTAGATCGTAACGAACAAGAGGAGTTGTTTTAGCGAGAATAAAAGTGTATTTTTATGCAATATTGTGGTTTAAAAAAGATCGTTCCTCATTGAAAGATATATGTGATTCCCTTCAATGGGCGATTCAATCCGTAAGAAGGGGACACAGCTTTAGATCAAATGGCAAGCCCTTCATCACTGTCCCTACCTCTCTGCATGAGCATGGGGATAGTCACTGGTGGCGAACTCGACAATGCCTACAGTATTTGCGCCAGCCTGGAGCAGCTGTGCATTACCTAGGGTCTGTGAGCAACATATTTGAGCCGGTAACTATACAATCCGCTTTGCTGACAAAGAATTCTGATAACATAACACCAAAAACATGACACATAAACATAAACATAAACATCGAGCAAGAGACAGGTAGTGACAAGTGGCGCGCTTACCACTCGCGCGGTCCTGGGTTCAAATCCCGGGTCGACTCCCGCCCAGGCCAACCAAGCCTTCTACCCTCCGGGGACGGTGAATTGGTACCAGATTCGTCTGGGAGGATAAAACACTGACTTGTACATCGGCTGGCCCCGCAAGTCATTGTATAGGCCACATCGCATTCAATAAGCCACTACGATTCTGAATGGAAGTAGAATGCGTGCCGTGATTGACGCCAAAGACTTCATCCTTTATCCTTTATCGAGCAAGAACAGCGAATGTTGGCTGATTTTGACTGCGCGATGGAGAAATCGGTTTGCAGCTGATTCTGACGAAGACGATGTCTATGGAGAGGGTTTCTGATAAGCCATTTCCGCTCAATGAAACGAACATCTCTGAATGCCCTAGCTGTGCGTCATAGGCCGGGGAAACAATATGAACAATTTAGCACCAGTGCTGAGTAGGAGGAAGCGAGCAGCTTGGGAGCTTTGAAGAACATCGAGGGAGTACCGAAGAAGCCTAGAATACCCAGTTTTGGGCCCACTTCCGATTTTGCGGTTCTTCTAGCTTTAAGTTACCCTCAGAGACTTGGACTCTACGGAAAGCAGGATGAGCATGCGGTTGGCGTTATTCAACGCGCCATCGAAAGGGCGACCGGAGTTTCCCGCTACATGCAAGTGAGAAAGGGAATCCGTGACTCTGCACTTCGTCGACGATCGAGAGACAGGAGCTTGCGTCATCTGCCGAGGTGTCGAAGATCAGATGGGCCAGGAACGTCATGCGCTTCAAAGATGATTGCTGGGTCAGAGCGGTTACCGACGGGATTCCGCGGGTTGTCAAACGGGCAGCCTGGATTACCACCTACTCGTTAGTCAGAGTTCTTCATGAAAGCGCTGATCGAAAGGTTTGATCATATCATGTCCCTCGAGCACAGAGAACCTGTAGGGGTGACAGACAGGCTACAACTCTACCGTGTTTTCCAGCTTCTCTCTTCTTGTGGGAAGGCATTAGAGGCGTTTTGGATTT